TACATAACTGCGTATGAATGATATGGAAACAACATGGATGTGACTTACTGACGTCATCATTCGTTCTATCGCTGCAGGACTGTGAGTCGAGAACGGCCAAGTGTTTTAAGTTCGTCTGTGAGATCGGTGAGCTGCAGGCGGCGCCAGACTGCGACCATACAGGTGCGCGCCCGTCTGTGGAACAGCACGTTTGTAGAGGTGAGTACGAACCACGGGAGCCGTCGTTACCTAGAGATTTTTACCTGCATTGTTACTATCGTTGTCGCTGCTATAATGTTATCATCGTTGTGAAGTAGAAAACACCGAGCAGTCCGCCGTGCGTGCACTAAAATAAAGTGTAATGATATAATGCGGTTTATCGGATAACAACTCATGGGCACTAACTATATTAAGACAAACACACAAACACACTCATATTACGAATTTGACAGAAAAAGATGTCCCTTTCCGTTATGTTTCTAAGCCAGCCCTAAGATACAGATGGCAGAGAAGGAAAGTGAGATTTCCGATCCTAAACTATTAAAGTCTCAACATAAATGCTGATGTAATAATAGTCAGACAAAATCTGTCAGATTGCTCTCTTACATTCTTAGTATACCCTCACAGTAGATTCTTCTACTCTGCATATCATATGGTAATTATCCCCCAATTATCCAATAACACACAGTTATCTCTCGTCCTGTGATGTCATACATTATGTTATCAACGCATGCTTTTACTCCTGCATGGGTTGTCATTATATTTTACATCTACACAAACTTACATCTCTTCATGTGTTGGTCAGATAACGCATTCGCTACAGAGAACCCTAACGTGTTGCACACTAAGGGCTCACACATCCAAATATATATTGATGTGCAATATACATACAAGTGAAATAATAAATATCGTGAGGTAAGATATACTAATAAAACCAGACAGTGCAGTGCGGGTGTGTGAGTGTCTGATAGCTAGTCTTACCAGCGTGAGAGAATTCTGAGAGAGCGAATCTATTATAGGCTCTGCTGAACGCTTGCTCCTAACGAATTCTTTTTCGTTTTCTTTCTCTATCGTGTTCACGTTTGAAGCAGAGTTCTTCGGTCCTGTCTGTGATGATATTGACGCACGAGTAGCCGCCGTCCTTTTGGCTGCTAACTCTGGCACCAGCTGTAAAGGTGTGTAAACCGCTGCTATTGCACGTAAGCTACTCAGCAACGTTACACTTCACGTCACGTCAGCATGAGGTGCATCACGTTTACACGGACAAGCACTCTTACAGTTGTACATATCATCATATTTGAATGTTTCCCTCCGTCTACTATATAGACTCTTGGACCTTGAAGACCCATTTTTATGAGGGTATGACGTTAATATGCTGCAATAAACTGCACTGCAGAACTCTGAATGATAGAATCACTTTCATAAATCAGACAGTCACAAAGAACACATATATATTACTGCAGGATCTTAGTATAGTTTCCATCGTGCTATGGAAACTGTGGTTAGTCGTTACGTTAGTACGTAAATTTAGATGTTAAATGATTTGTTAGTCACTTCAATCGACGACAAGAGAATTGCGGCGGTATTTTAGTTAAAGCCAACTTTCGATGACGTAATACAATGGTGATCATCAATACTAGTTCATTCTAAACGAACACCGTTATCACAGCGCACTAGTTAGTGTAGGCGTTAGACACTCATGATGAACCGAAATAACACGTACAATTAATTACTCATTGAATGACAATGCACGAATAACAGATGAGAAATACAGATGAAACGTCATGAAGACACGCTTTGTCCACACGTGAAACACGAGCGAAATACACACGTCCGTGAGAGAATACCTGTGTCCACCACCTGTAATCAACCAAACACAGGACACGACTGTGACAAGGTAACCGCTGTAGAAGGTAAATATACCTGTCCTTCTGAGATCAGCTGTGTCACATGCAGCCTGTAGTTCATGCTCAGTAGCAGATTCTCCTGGTGAGCGGGTTGTAGAAAGAGGTTGACGGGTTAGCGACACACAGCAGGGAGCAACAACAGCAGAAAAGCCGAGCAGTCGTGTGTTAATCAAACTCAGCCATTAGATCAGCCATGTACATATATATATATATTACAGCCATGTACAGCAACCAGCTTTTAAATACCAAATTAGTCCCACCAACCCACATCTATCCGTCTGGGACCTGTCTATGTATGTCTCTCGTGTAATCTCTTTATTTGAACTGAACATTTAGCAAGAGGATCATGATGAGGAGATGGTGTGTAATAAGGCGAGTAGACAAACAAATGCCATTTCCAGCAGAAATTCAGTTACGATTATAATTTTCCTGGGAGATGTATGAGAGACAGACAAGCAGGCCCTTCACATTGAACTTTACTGAGTAGTCTTATGCTAGCAAGTTATTAACACTTTCTCAAACTGTCTATCTCTCACATATAAAACTATAATAGTTTCGCGTGCCTTAACGTGACAATTACATGAGCGAATGAAATAAGTTACAATATACATGAGGCGTGTGATTGAATGCTGCTAACTACTAACTGAAAATCTTACTCATTCAACATACAGAGTAGAACTTAAAGAGACATCAGAATAAATTCACATGTGCAAAAAATACACTGTAGTGTGTAATTAAATAAAAGAAATAAAAAATGAATCTATGATATATGGCAAAATTCCACATACATATACGGACCAACCCTACAGACAACTAGCTTGAACTGATGTAACACTTTCTACAAATGTTAACAACAAGAAATAATTAAAAAAAATTAATGCCACAGAAAAATGCATTTATTCATGATGCATAACTTAAAATAAACATACTATAACACTTTATGCATGTGCGATACACGTCTACATGTAAAATTGCCTTAATACCCACTGTTTAAACTCTCCCTCTCTCTGTCTCTCCCTCCCGCCCTCTCTAAAACACACGACTAGCAGCAGACGGTTGCAGATGAGAACACCTGCTGTGGATGATTGCTTGTTGCCGAGTGTCCGCGGATTGCACGCGATTTTCCCTTTATAGTTTAGGATCGGAAATCTCACTTTCCTTCTCTGCCATCTGTATCTTAGGGCTGGCTTAGAAACATAACGGAAAGGGACATCTTTTTCTGTCAAATTCGTAAATATGAGTGTGTTTGTGTGTTTGTCTTAATATAGTTAGTGCCCATGAGTTGTTATCCGATAAACCGCATTATATCATTACACTTTATTTTAGTGCACGCACGGCGGACTGCTCGATGTTTTGTACTTCACAACGATGGTAACATCGTAGCAGCGACAGCGATGATAACAACGCAGGTAAAAATCTCTAGGTAACGACGGCTCCCGTGGTTCGTACTCACCTCTACAAACGTGCTGTTCCACAGACGGGCGCGCACCTGTATGGTCGCAGTCTGGCCGGCCTGCAGCTCACCGATCTCACAGACGAACTTAAAACACTTGGCCGTTCTCGACTCACAGTCCTGCAGACGATAGAACGAATGATGACGTCAGTAGATTCACATCCATGTTGTTTCCATATCATTCATGACGCAGTTATGTACTATGACGTGTTCTTTCTTATGTTTGTGCCATTATACATTGTTAAAATACTAATTATGCACAAATAAACATGTTTGAATTAAATAATTTGCATTATTCGTCATCTCAAGAGGGGTAGAAATTAAAATTTTAAACACGGGAGTCCAACGGACTCCCTACCCTCAAAAAGAGGGAGTCCGCAGCAAAATGAGAGAGTCCGCAGTCTGAAGTTCAAAATTAAAGATATTTTACAATAACGCATGTGCTTATTTTTAAGATTCATGCACTGGCACGTCGGAACAAACTAGTTAGTATGGCAGAATTTTCAGGGAGTCACACGGACTCCTACACATGTCAAATCAGGGAGTGCGGCAGTAAATCAGGGAGTGCGACAGTAAATCAGGGAGTGCGACAGTATATGTTTATTTTAAGTTAGCATCATGAATAAAGCATTTTTCTGTGGCAATTTTTTAATTTTTTTAATTATTTCTTGTTGTTAACGTTTGTAGAAGATGTTACATCAGTTCAAGCTAGTTGTCTGTAGGGTTGGTCCGTATATGTATGTGGAATTTTGCCATATATCATAGATTCATTTTTATATTTCTTTATTTAATTACACACTACAGTGTATTTTTTGCACATGTGAATTTATTCTGATGTCTCTTTAAGTTCTACTCTTATATGTTGAATGAGTAAGATTTCAGTTAGTATTAGCAGCATTCAATCACACGCCTCATGTATAATGTGTAACTTATTTCATTCGCTCATGTAATTGTCACGTTAAGGCACGCGAAAACTAATTTATC